GAGAATAATTTGAGTAATAAAGCGGAAGTCCAAAATTGAAACACTTTTTCTTTCGAAAAACACAATCAAACACAATTTTATATCCACTTTTTTGCATAGAATTGTAATTTTAAAGAAAGAAAGCAAAAATTACTTTGATTGGACGAAATTTGCTGATCAACAGATGTCACTGAAGTAGATGATGATAATGATGGTGATAGCGCTGATGTTAGTGATAACGATGACAATTGCTGCACTGCAGCTTGTTGCATTTGCATAAGTTGATAACGGGTACTCATCAGTTGTGATAAGCACGGCATATTGTATGGTGCTAAGGCCTACAGTCATGGAATTTTTAAGATATGCTAGAAAAATTGGAACCATTTATGGTTTTAAATGATATTATATGATTAGTTTCAAATGGTATTGTTATAAAATAGTATTATCTGTTCAGTTCAAAATTTCGTCTTGCCACAACCGGAGCAGGTTAAAGTATAGTATTCCGGATATTACCAAGGAGCCATTATGAAAATGTAATATGTATTAGCTGACCAGCTAAGAACTGAAAGGACAAATCAGCCATAGCCTATTAGAGAATTGTTCGGAAATCGTTCAGTAATCACTGGAATGATTATAAATTCAAGAAAGTTCAGCGTATAGACAAATTTTAACCCTAACGAAAGTTTGGTTAATTTATTCGGCACCATTAAATAAATTGGCTACTGAAATGTTTTTATATGAAGCTAATTTTGCCAACAAAAATAAAAAATAAAGAAAATGATGGAAGTTCAAAATTTTAACGAGGTACAAAATGAAAAAGGACAGTAGTAAAGAAAATGCAAATTATAAAATAACAAACTTCTCAGGTATTTAATTAATCAAATTGTGAATTGACAGATCTAATTGAAATGATAATAGAAAAATAATGACATTTATAGTTAAACGTTAAAATTTTTAAACTGAAACAAGTAATTGTGCAATAAATGGCGAAAGAAAATTAAACCGTATCACTGTTATGTTACCGTTACTTACTTACCGTGTCGTTGTTTAATTTAAGGATTCCCATTATCCTTAAAATAGCAACTACCATTTTATCGTAGCAGTAAATTCAGTTACTCAGTATTTTGGGTGTCATTCTTAATAATATCATTTCTCAATTAATCAGTTATTGAAAATTACCTGTAAATGTGTTTGTACTGGCATTCTGTACAAAAAATATTGAGATGACTCATTTTCAGAAAAATTCTGTATTTGATTTCTAATTAATGGCATTGGTAAAGCTCTTCTCCATAGAGCTCCATGAGACTTCGATGCTACAGTTTGTTCTTGTTCTTCCTTATATCCCGAGCACCCTGCTTCCCTGTAATTTCAAATTAATGTTACTTTTGATAAATTAGAATTTGCTTTGTTACATTAAATTCTATATGTGTTCTTATATTAAAAAATTGATAAAAATAAATGAAGTCAATTTTTGAAATAAAAAAACAGAATTTAAAAATTAGCAACTTAGATTATAAATAATTGAAAAAATTATAATTAAGTCAAAGTGGACGTTACATTACTTTTCATTTGAAAAAAGCTTCAATAGCTTATGGTATTTATTTTTATCATAATTCTAAAATATTAATTTTTCCATAATAATCCAATTTTCTAACTCTTCCTTATTTTTAATGCAACATAATATTACTTTCATTTCTTATCAATCATTTTTTCATTTATAAAAAATTTTTATTGAAATACTTAAATTCAAAAAGTTTTTGATCAAAATGTTAATATGATATTATTCAAAAAGCGAGTAGCATTAACATTTTAAAGAATAAAATTTACAATATTAAAAAAACTTTTGTCAATAGCAAGAAAAAAAAAAAGAAATAACCGTAATGTTTCGCATTCCTTATTTATTATTTCAATCGGTTTGACAGTATCACAATGAATGTCATTCTGCGTATTACATTCATCGAGTAACGATGCAATTAAGTATGTTTTTCTTTTTGGCATTATTCCTTTCTTCTTCAAACTAAAATTTTTTTTTCTTCCACAAATTACATCAATCAATTTACTTGTCTTTTTTTCTATTTGATGAATTTTTTGAATTAATTTTTTATTTTCTTTTTTTATTGTTGTTAATTTTATGTTTAACAGACAAATAACCACTCACAAATGTATCGAAATATAAAATGCTATTTTATTAATTTGGCAAACACACACACACACACACACACACACACACACA